CTAATGTTAGCTCTAATGCAGCTGCAGAATCTTCTTCATAATGTATTTTGTCATAATAATTGACGTAAGGTCGTAAGAAAATGTTTTGTTGTATTTTTTTTAGAAAGACTTTTGATAATAGGCGGGTAACTGAATACTGGGATTGAAGCGATGTGGCTTTGTAAACCTTGTAATGTCAGAATAAAGGCTACTAATGGCTGAATAAAAACAAAAGAATAATGATAAAGGAATAATGAGGATATTGTCTCATACTGTCACGGTGTGCCTACGGTGAGGAGCGAGGAACAAGGAGATCACAGGAGAATCAGGATTTAACAGTCATTAATGACATCAAGGGAAACACACGTAGGACACGGGATCGACGTTCAGCACGCTAGACTTGGAAACACACAGGACTTAATCATGGGACTAATCAAGTAAATTAATGAGAGAACACCTGGGACCAATAAACATAATATGTAGCACGTGGGGGAAGAAAACGCACACAGACACGGAACAGAGTCTGACATTACTCCCCCCTCCCGGAAGGCGTGTCCCGCGCCGTACAACATCCAGCGGGGAGGGGGGTGGGCACTCTGGAGGCCTCTAGGAGCAGGGTTCCAGGACAGAAGGCCTCCAGGGTGGTGCCCGTTCCGGGACCCATGACGGATCAGGCAGACTAGGAGGCCATGGCAGATCAGACAGTTCAGGAGGCCATGGCGGAGCTGCTTCCGAGGCCACGGCCCCAGCCCCCGCCTCTACAGCTGGAGCCCTCCTACCACCCCCCCAAAAAAAAGAGATTATGGGCTCCGAGGCCAAGGCATAGGCACCACAGCCCTCAGTGGGCTAAACACAGGAACAGGAGCCCTCCGTGGGCTAAACTCAGGAACAGGAGCCCTCACTGGGCTAAACTCAGTGACTGCAGCCCTCATTGGGCCAAGCTAAGGTGCTGGAGCAGACACTGCGCCCCCAGCCCCCGCCTCTATGGCTGGAGCCCTATAACCCCCTCAAAAAAATACCTGGGGAAGATTACGGGCTCTGAGGCCCTCTGTGGGCCAGACATAGGCACCGCAGCCCTCCGTGGGCTAAACACAGGAACAGGAGCCCTCCGTGGGCTAAACTCAGGAACAGGAGCCCTCCATGGGCTAAACTCAGGAACAACAGGAACAGGAGCCCTCCATGGGCTAAACTCAGGAACAGGAGCCCTCACTGGGCTAAACTCAGTGACTGCAGCCCTCATTGGGCCAAGCTAAGGTGCTGGAGCAGACACTGGAGCGAGCTCTGGGGCTGGAGCCGACACTGGAGTGAGCTCCGGGGCTGGAGCCGACACTGGAGCGAGCACGGGGGAGCGCTCTCGGGTGAGGAAGAGGGCCCTGAGCCATCCATTTCTCCTCTTCCTCCTCTTCTGATTACGAGTGAATTGGGCAGTCGGCGTGTGTGTCGTTGCAGCGGCCAGGAGGCTTGACTTCGTAGCGGCCGGCGGGCTTGACAACGGCGCGTCCGGCGGGCCTGACAGCGAGCTCTGGGGCTGGAGCCGACACTGGAGCGAGCTCTGGGGCTGGAGCCGACATTGGAGCGAGCTCTGGGGCTGGAGCCGGCACGGAAGCGAGCTCTGGGGCTGCAGCCGGCACGAGAGCGAGCTCTGGGGCCGACAGTAGAGCGAGCACTGGGGGGCGCACTTGGGCGAGGAAGAGGGCCCTGAGCCATCCATTTCTCCTCTTCCTCCTCTTCTGATTACGAGTGAATTGGGCAGTCGGCGTGTGTGTCGTTGCAGCGGCCAGCAGGCTTGACTTCGTAGCGGCCGGCGGGCTTGACAACGGCGCGTCCGGCGGGCCTGACTTCGTGGTGGCCAGCGGGTTTGAGTGAGCCGCGGCCGGCAGACTTGACTTGGGAAAGGCCGGCGGACTTGACTCGGGAATGGCTGGTGGGCTTGACTCGGGAACGGGCGGCGGGCTTGAATTCGGAGCGGCCGACGGGTTTGAGAATGCCGTGGCCGATGGGCTGGTTCTGGCTCGGGGCCGGATGCTCTCCAGACACCAGAGGATCCCTTCCCTCCAGCTTAGTCCCG